GTTTCACAAGATTTTAGGAGTATATTGTCAAGAAAAGTAACAGAACTGAGGTGATGGCAATGCTAAGGAATTTTGCAGCAATCTTGAATTGTACTCTTTGGCTTATGGCAATCATGAATTGTACTCTCTTCATTTGTGCTTCAACTTTGAGAAATAGAATGAGCAGGTCATATTTCTTTAAACTTTATATTATCTAATATGTATTTAGAAATTGGAATACAAAGCCCTTGACATTACAACACGAGCATACTTGAGGGAAGAACTTACATCGAATCGAATACCAATGCAGCGACTCTCCTTCCCTCCCTGTGCTTTAGTTATTCTAAGTTAGTTTCACTAAACTGAAACTGCAGTCATAGATCATTACAGGTTTTCTCTGAACTTTGCATCTAACTGTTACATATTTAACTATTAATTAAGAATGTGAGAGATTACAGCTGCATGACTGATGTCATTGGCACTCATTTGCAACTTTATGAATCCACTTAGGAGATGATATTAATATATGCTTTGTCAGCAGAAGTCCTAGGTACCGAAGTTGGATTGCTTATAAAAAATCTATACAGTTGGATTGCTAAAATCCGACGTGTGCTATATGATTCTGGGAAGGCAACACAACTTCCTCTTGTTCTCAACGAGAACATTTTTCAGATTTATATTATTTTCTTTGGATTGGTGAAGTGTTTTAATTTTACAATGTTTTTGATGCAAACATTTTTTTTGGCAAGAAGTATTTGATGCAAACATTGAAGGAAATATGCCCTAGAGGCAATAATAATGTTATTATTTTATTTCCTTATATCATGATACATGTTTATTATTCATGCTAGAATTGTATTATCCGGAAACATAATACTTGTGTGAATACATAGACAAACCAAACATCACTAGTATGCCTCTACTTGACTAGCTCATTAATCAAAGATGGTTATGTTTCCTAACCATAGACATGTGTTGTCATTTGATTAACGGGATCACATTATTAGGAGAATGATGTGATTGACATGACCCATTCCATTAGCTTAGCACCCGATCGTTTAGTATGTTGCTATTGCTTTCTTCATGACTTATACATGTTCCTATGACTATGAGATTATGCAACTCCTGTTTGCCGGAGGAACACTTTGTGTGCTACCAAACGTCACAACGTAACTGGGTGATTATAAAGGAGCTCTACAGGTGTCTCCAAAGGTACATGTTGGGTTGGCGTATTTCGAGATTAGGATTTGTCACTCCGATTGTCGGAGAGGTATCTCTGGGCCTTCTCGGTAATGCACATCACATAAGCCTTGCAAGCATTTCAACTAATGAGTTAGTTGCGAGATGATGTATTACGAAACGAGTAAAGAGACTTGCCGGTAACGAGATTGAACTAGGTATTGAGATACCGATGATCGAATCTCGGGCAAGTAAAATACCGATGACAAAGGGAACAACGTATGTTGTTATGCGGTCTGACCGATAAAGATCTTCGTAGAATATGTAGGAGCCAATATGAGCATCCAGGTTCCGCTATTGGTTATTGACCGGAGACGTGTCTCGGTCATGTCTACATTGTTCTCGAACCCGTAGGGTCCGCACGCTTAAGGTTTCGATGACAGTTATATTATGAGTTTATGAGTTTTGATGTACCGAAGATAGTTCGGAGTCCCGGATGTGATCAAGGACATAACGAGGAGTCTCGAAATGGTCGAGACATAAAGATTGATATATTAGACGGCTATATTCGAACACCGGAAGTGTTCCGGGTGATTTCGGAGAAAACCGGAGAGCCGGAGGGTTACCGGAACCCTACCGTGAGAAGTAATGGGCCATATGGGCCTTAGTGGAGAGAGAGGGGCAGCCAGGGTGGGCCGCGCACCTCCTCCCCCCTGGTCCGAATTGGACTAGGAGAGGGGGGGGGGGCGCCCCCCTTTCCTTCTCCCTCCCCACTTCCTTCCCCCTCCTAGTAGGAGTCCTACTCCTACTAGGAGGAGGACTCCTCCTGGCGCGCCAATAGGGGCCGGCCGGCCTCCTCCCCTTGCTCCTTTATATACGGGGGCAGGGGGCACCCCTAGACACATAAGTTGATCCACGTGATCATATTCTTAGCCGTGTGCGGTGCCCCCTTCCACCATAGTCCTCGATAATATTGTAGCGGTGCTTAGGCGAAGCCCTGCGACGGTAGTACATCAAGATCGTCATCACGCCGTCGTGCTGACGGAACTCTACCCCGACACTTTGCTGGATCGGAGCCCGGGGATCGTCATCGAGCTGAACGTGTGCTAAAACTCGGAGGTGCCGTAGTTTCGGTGCTTGATCGGTCGGGCCGTGAAGACGTACGACTACATCAATCGTGTTGTGCTAAGGCTTCCGATGTCGGTCTACAAGGGTACGTAGATCACACGCTTCCCTCTCGTTGCTATGCATCACCATGATCTTGCGTGTGCGTAGGAAAATTTTGAAATTACTATGTTCCCCAACAAACATAACACTGTACAAAATCTCGGGTTCAGTCAAAGGAAATATGTGCCTGAGGTACTTTGTTTATCCCCTTTCAAATATGATTACATGATACTTTATAATCCTTGTTCAATTAATGGTGTATTTTTATGTGTGGTACTATGAGAAATAGTGGATTTTGTGTATTGGGACTATCATGGTTATAACATTTCTTTTTATATGATACAACATGAGTCATTTTATGAGAAACACACAATAAGATTAATGTAAAACAAGGGGAAAATAAAAAAAATTGTTAGATAGTCAGACATCGCATACACATTACCCTTGATAAAGACATTTGTAAAATAGAAAATGTAGATAATCAATCTCTGTATATAGCTTTTATTTATTATTCCGTGGCAACGCACGGGCACTCAGCTAGTCATTTATTAAATCCTAAGGGATGAGCAGCTTGTGGTTCCTTGGTTCGGTAGCAAGGTCGGTCGAGGAAGAGCACATAGGAGAAGGCGAAGAGGCTCAATGTCACCCACGAGGGCGGCAGCGATGTGGCGAGACGGGGAGCCAGCTGCCTAACCTCCGCCCAATCGTGGCATTGAGGGCTAGGTAGAGCAGCAACAACACCTCACCTGCAACAACTAGAGCAGGAGCAAACACATTAGCCCTGGAAATTTGCCTTTGGGGTGGGATTAGCAATGGGAGAGGCGGTACCGTCTGGAATGAGCACCATGGAGATTGTGGAACAGAGTATGAGTATGAGGATGAGGATGACGGCTGCGGTGGACGACCTTGGCGCAAAAGCACATGGAGGGCCCCTCTCCCGGCGCTCCCTCGATAGATCGAGAGGTACCGTTGCAGATCGGGAAGCACCATGGCCTCCTCCTCGACGGAGCGTGGGTATTCTTGAATGCGAGGCGTGGAGCAGCCGCCGGAACTTCGCCCAACCCCCGCTGCACGCCGTTGCGAGCCCAACACCCCGAGGCCGCCGTAACCCTTACCATGGTTGTGGCCTCCTCCCTCTCTATCTCTCTATCTCAACCGCCCAGGCTAGTGCGTGAGGGGCGTTGGGTTAAAGAACAACGTTCGTCATCCTATCATGCGGACACAGGGAGAGGAGCATGGGGTGTGTTGCTCGTACTAACCAAGGTGAATTTCTGGCAGCAAAGGCCGGCACACTTGAGCATCTTACAAGGCCTCTACATGCAGAAGCTTTGGCATGTGTGTTAACTACTGAAGCAAGTGCGGAACTGGGCATCCACAGGATGATTCTTGAGTCTGATTCCCAAGTGCTTGTCCATGCACTCAATTCTGGTGAATATGAACGAGCGCTGATCGGTGTCCTCCTACAGGAGACGCGAAGTATCTGCCATGCGAACTTTGAATCATTTAGTTTCAGTTTCTGTAACCGAAATTGTAATAAGGCAGCACATGAGTTAGCTGTTTTTGGTTTCAGATCGGGAGCTGCTGATCTGTCGTGGATCGAGTATGCCCCAGACTTTGTTTCTGTTCTGGTTGCCAGCGATATTGCTGAGCCAGTTTAGTAATGGAATGAATTGTTCCAGGTCAAAAAAAAGAAGAACAACGTTCGGGCTGTTCGCATCGGGTGTGAACGGTTCCAGGAACGTGACATGGCGACCAGCCTTGCAAGATCCATGTTCGCCATGGGACGGCTACCATGCGTTCGTTCCAAGACCTTAAAAAAACCGACGTTATACAGGATACGGACTTACGGAGTACTCACGATGTGACCAAACTTGCGTTTAACTACAGTACAACACGCACGTCGAATACCCCTCAAAAAAAAAAAACACGCACGTCGAATCCCCATAACTACGTTGGCATGCCTTTCGCTGCTAGGAAAGCGTCAAGGCTCTGGTTCACTCCTCGAGCCACGAACATGATGCAGATCGGCGGGGTGGCCTTGAGCAGCGTGAGCGCCGACGACAGCAGCGACCCGAACCCGTCCCCGCAGATCAGCCCGCACGCCGCCGCCGGCGACATGAGCCGCATGTCGTCGCGGTCGAACCTCCCCCACAGGTAGATCACGGCGCTGCCCAGCGCCATGCCCACGGGGATCGTGGGCGGCACGAAGAAGGCCACGGCCATGCCGATGGTGCTCGGGATGTACCTCAGGACGCGCCACTTCTTGTGCGTCGACACCTCCCGGAGCACGCTGATGGACAGCGCCAGCGCCAGGAAGACCTTGCAGAGCAGCATGGTGTGCCTGGGAAGCCCGTTCTTCTCGGTCATGGCGAGCATGGCGATCCCCCGGTACACCTTGGCGTACGGGCCGATGCTGTTGCTGTCGTCGTGGGCGCCGCTGTTGTACACGCTGTAGAAGATGGAGAAGATGACGGGGTTCACCACGCAGCCGAGCGCCGTGCCGGCGACCTGGCAGATGGTGATGGTGTGCGGCGAGGTGAGGGTGATGTAGCCCGTCTTGTGGTCCTGCATCAGGTCGGACGCGGTGGACACGTTGGACACGATGATGGCGCAGGCGGCCAGCCCGGCCACCACGCCGCCGTCCTTGAGCCCCACCCACGAGCTGAAGATGAGTAGCGAGACCTTCCCGTAGGTGGTCGCGATGTTCATGTCCGTGATGCCGTTGCCGTAGGCGTTGCAGAAGGCGAACACCGGCGCGATGATGTAGGCTAAGGCCACGTGGTGGTACCTCAGCTGGGGGTAGAGCTGCGGTATGACGACGGTGGAGATGACTGACAGGACCACGTACCCGACGACGGGCGCCATGGCGGGGACCCGGTCCCGGAGGAACACCTGCGTCCTCCGGCGGTCGTCGAAGCTGGACGCCGACCGGTCGAGGACGACGCTAAGGCACCGGAACGGCTGCCCGTTGCTGCTCTGCCTCGGCTGATGGTTCTCCTGTTGCTTGTACATGGTGTAGAGCGTCTGAACCAGGATGCAGAGCATGTGTAGGAGCCCGTCGGCGAGGATCATGGATACCCCGATGAACACCCGGTAGCCATTGATGCCGCTGATGTTGTCGTGGTCGAGGCCCTGCGGGTACCAGTCCCCCTCCTTCGTCTGGATGTAGGGCCAGATGAGCCCCCACGAGACCAAGGATCCCGCCAGCATCGAGATGGTGATCTTGTACGGGCAGAACATCCCGACGCCGACGTTGGTCATGGAGAAATCGAAGTAGAACCCTCGTTGAAAAGCGCTGAGGCCAAACACCGGGAACGCCTGCAAGCCACAGCCCTTGCGGACGCCGAAGAACCACTCGAAGATCGACCATGCAACGGTCCCAAATAAGGTCTTCGACAACATCGCCAGTTGCTGGCCGGCTTGCTTGGCGCCCTGGGGAGTGTGCATGGTGTTGATGAGGTGCGCCGTGGCCGTGCCGCTGGGGAACGTCAGCCGGCGGTGGACGATGAGGCTGTCCCTGAACGGCATGATGGCGAACAGGCCGGCGAAGCTGGTGAGGAGGAGGAAGACGATCATCCGGCCGATCTCCGGCTCCTCCACGTTCAGGCCGTCGCTCCCGACGCCGCCCTCCGCCGAGTGCTTGCTCATCCCCAGAATGTACGTCCCAAACCCACCTGCACATACACATGATCAGTCAGCCCGCCAACCAGTGCGCATGTACATGCATGCATGCTCAGAGCGCGCCGCGTACGTACCGCTGTAGGCGATGCTGGTGCAGGCGACGACGCACGTCTGGACGACGGTGTTCTCCTGGCGGGTGAAGGGCAGCTGGGACGCCTCGAGGCTGTCCATCAGCTGCATCCACAGGCGCGGGAGGAAGAACCCCAGGAGGCCGGCGGGCATGGCGAGCGAGGGCGCGAAGCCGGAGGTGAGGGCCAGCTTCATGGCCACGATGCTGAGCGCGCACCCGAGCACGATGCTCACCGCCACGGACCGCACCGTGATCGTCTCCGACCGCGACGGGACGGACTCCCCCTCGAACACCCGCTCCGTGGACGGGTGCTCGTCCTCCATCCCCCAGAGGTCGTGGGTGGCGGCCGGCGGCGTCGACGGCTCCATCGCTCCGCCGCGCGGACGGCCGGCCTGCTTGGAACGGAGGTTCGAGGGGGAACCGCACGTTCCAAACAAAGGCCAACTTGAAAACGCAACTCTTGGGTTGGTGGACACATGCGCCGTCGCGCCATTTTTTGAGGGGTGCAGGGCCGTCACAGGTTAGATTTGGCCGCTCAATTAACGTGGTGATGCTAAACATAGCCGCGGACGTATCTCATTGTTGAGCGTTTCGTAGCTTAATATCCGCACTCACACTTGCATAGCTATCTTTCGAGTGAACGATCAAAGGTTTCGTAAGTGTAGCATTTTTTGCTAGATCATACTCCGTCCATCTGAAAAAGTTTGTCTCTCAAATAGATGTATCTAGCACCAGCTTGTGACCAGCTTTTCCGGACGGAGGTAGTATGATCTATTTAAGAAATGGCCCCTGTGTCGCTCGCTAGGGTGACTCGTGCGGCATCTCAGCCCTGCGCTAGAAAACCTTCCTTCACGACTCCGTCCCTCTTCTCCTCGCCGCAGTTGATCGGCGCCCCAGGGGCAAGGCCTTAGGCGTCCGACAATGGCGGCGGGTCTTCTCCCATCGCGTCCAGCTTTCTCCAAGGATCCCGATTTGGCGTGCACGTCCTCGCAACCTAACGCCGTCTCCAGCGAAGGACTAGGTCCATGCCCGCCGGCTCAAGGTCATCATCACCTAGTGCGCTCTCCTAAGGGTCACCGGTGTGGTCCGGTCTGCTCAGATCCACCTAAAGGGCTAGCGGCACAAGACCCTGCAGTGTTTCCCTTGGCAACGATGGCCACACATACAACAACGGTTCAGCTTGGACTCGAGCGGACCCTGCGGGGCGGCAACAGCCGTTGCTACGGTGAAGCGAACCACAATGGCTGTTGTCCTTCCCGCATGTGGCCGCCTGGCTGGATCTAGGCCGCAGCTCGGGGACCGGGCCATGATGCAGCGGCGTGACAAGTATCGTTGTCTGTTGCTGCGGTATGGAGTCGACTTGCAGCGTGCTCAACGGCGGCGGCGCCCTCACTTTAAGTGGCCACTAAGTTCCTGAGGGATCCGATGGTTGTTGTCCATGGTTCATTCTTGGGATGTTGTGAGATGCAGCCAAAAGGCTCTTTTACGAGTTTTGGTGGCTCTGACTCCAGTCAATTTGCCTTCGACTGTGAGATGCAATCTACGATGACTTGACGCGGAGGTTATGGTTGTGTTGCTACGGCGGTGGAATAGCCCAGCGCATGTAGCCGTTGTGATCACGAAAAAAGTGGTGGAGACATCACATTATTGCTTTTGATGCGGTGCTTCTCGAGTACCCGGTCTCGAGTTTCGGGGTGGAAAACCTATGTTTAACCCGAGTTGGTTATAACCGGCAATGGCAATGTTTTGTGTTGTTACCTTGTTGAAGGCATTGCACGAATATGCTCGGACTTGTCATTCAAGATGAAAACCTAGAATCTGGCCTTTGGTGGTTGGGTTTCGGTGAAGAAGACACTTGTGAGTTGTTTCTTTCTTGAAGACGTTGCTGTTGAAAAATCTCGTTGTTCTTGTGATTTCAAGAGATGGTTGGTGAGGATATGGTCATTGTTCTACTTTGTCCATCGTTCTTGACCGCTGATGAGTGCTATTTTTACACTTATTCACCCTTGTGTAAACTGTGATATTTCATTTAAAAGTGATATTCACTCCGATATTGCTACTAATGAGTAATGAATGCAAAGAATTCCACAAATCCTCTCTTTGATGTGTTTCCACAGGAAATGAGCTAAAAGGGGAAGAAATCATGTGTGGAAATGGAAAGGAAGGAGAATGGGGGAAGAAGGAATCAACATGAGGTGTTTTTGCGAAGACAGAGCAAAAGACGATGTTCCATATGGCACATGCACCCGTATGGCATGGAAACCGAGGCAGATCGTCCACCTGAACAACTTTTATAAAGGAGCCCCATTGAAATGTCAACAGAGGTGGCGAGAGGAGAGCGTTAACAGCAGCCAGAACACCATCATCATCTTCATCCACAAACCCTAGCAGCCGCCATCTTCATCTCCATAGCCACCATCACCACCATAGTGCTTCCTCATCTAGTTCATACTTGTAATCATGCATCGCACAAGGCATCCATTGTAAGACATATTTGCAATCAATCAATCTTCAAGATGTGTTCTTCAATGTTTTCTTCTCGTGATCTAATCTCCATGTGTGGGTAGTTCGGCAAGGTATGGGTTGAGGCATGAGCCTTGCAACCCTCTGTATTTGTTGTGGGGATCAATGAAAGGGCTTTGAATTAACTTCTCGTATGTGTGAAATAAATTGTTCCGTAGATGTCTCTTGTCTTGTCCACGATCTTCATCACTGCAGGTACCTAGGGTCATGGAGATCGAGCACCGGTGAGGCTGGGAGTAAGGAGACCGTGAAGTGTTATACCGAACATCGGTGACAGTAAGGTTGAGTAGGGTAACATGGATCTAAGGATGGCAATGGGTCAGGTTTGGATCGGCTTAAAAAAATATCAAATCCATATCCATGAAGACAATCTCTGCCCACCCA